TAGACCACTTATGTAAAAAAACTTAACTTAAACCTCAAAAATAGAATTTTAAAACATTAATTAAGAATCATTAAATAATATTTTTTAATATTATGACATCTTAAAAATTTTTTCTTTTTTTGTTTTTTTTTTTATAAAAATCTATACAGATGTGAATATACAGTATATTCCAATGTAATACTCTGTATGATTTCAGATTTGTTATATCCATTATGAGAATAAAAATCAAATCGAATGTAATGGCAGAGTAACAGAAGCGTAAATGAAACTTTTAGAAGGCGAAAATTGGAACAATGAAATGTAAAAGAAGTATTTACGCTTCTTTTACATTTTCATGTTCCAATTTTCGCCTTCTAAAAGTTTCATTTACGCTTCTGTTACTCTCCCATTACATCCGATTTACGCTCCGATTTTTATTTTCGTCAGTGATATTTCAATGCGAATGCAACTCTATTCTTTTAAATTTTTTATATTAATTCCCTTCTTTGTACGTATACATACAATGTACATATATATATTTCACAAAATGTAACAAGAAATAGATTTAAAAGTTCTTTATCTAACATAATTCTACAAAAAATAATTTTATAAACTTTTCATTAAAAAAAATGTGGAATCGTGTTCATTCCAATATATATTATCGGATTCCTTTGACTTTTCATTTGAATTCAAGTTACTTGAATCTATGTGCCTTTGACTTCAGTATGCGTACTTTCATCAAATACAGTATCAGTAAAGTACAGTTTAACGCTTCTCAATAATTGTATATACACTGCAATCTACAAATAAAAGCACTTTCGAGAAAAACTATTGAACTGGACAAGGATACGTTGACTAGCCATCTAGGGACATAGACGATTAACTAGACAATAGATATTAGAAAATACGAAAATGGTTAGGTATAGCGAACACTAGGCGTGATCTTTTTCGTAGAGTTCTGAACTAGTGCTATAAGTTAGAGTGAAACGAACTATGTCTGTTTCACTCTAACTTGTTACACCAATGTACAATTCAGAAATTGGAGTAGAAAAAGGACAGACCTTTAAATTGAGTAAACTCTCGCTTATTGGTGTATTCTTTTAGATCATTCAATCTTTCAGATCAAGAAGAATACATCAATACAAGGAACGCTCCCCTGTACGCAACCACTGTTGCTGCCTTTTTCGAGAAAAGAAGTATTCTCTATGAAATAAAATCTAATCTAATCTTTAAAAATTGAAATCTCTAAAATCTAATCTAATCTTTAAAATGTAATCTTTAAAGAGTGAAATCTTAAACTTACTTTTAAAAATTAACAATTAACATACTCTTTTTTTAACACATATTATACAGTTATTCAGGATCGTTAAACTGTACTTTACTGATACACTGTATTTGCTGAAAGTACGCATACTCAAGTCAATTTCAACTTGGAGTAAAATGAAAAACTCAAATCGATCGAACATATATTGGAATGAAAACGATTCCACATTTTTTTTAAAAATGTGAAAAGTTTATAAAATTATTTTTTGTAGAATTATGTTAGATAAACTTTTAAATCTATTCCTTGTTATATTTTGTAAAATATATATGCATGTTAAATGTATATATAAAGAAGAAAATTAATTTAAAAAATTTAAGATAATAGATTTGCATTCACATATTAAAATTTATGATAAATGATTTAAATTTATAAAATTTATGATAATCTGAAATCATACAAGGCATTACAATAGCATATATACTGCATATTCACATCTGTATAAATTTTTATAAAGAAGGAAAAAAATTAATAAAAAAGTTTCCTAATGTTAAAAAATATTATTTTGTAATCCTTAATTAACATTTTAAAATTCTATTTTTGAGCTTTAAATTCGTTTTTTTTACATAAGCGGTCATTCTGTTTTCAATACATTTCTTGAGAGAAATATTACAAGATTAGTTTAAAAGCTATTAACAAGCGTATGATATTCTATCAAGAATCAATAACTGTAGAGAGCTGTAAGAAATAAGATTCAAGCTATGTATGAAAAAATTTTATTTGAATTCTTCAATTGAATGACACGAGTATGTAAAATATGGAGAGTTAAATCTAAAATGCTTTTATTAGATTGTGACATTTTCATAATGTGTAGTACTATCTAATAAATCTATCTACCCCTAGATAGCTAGTCAAAGTTTCTTTGTCCAGTTCAATAGCTTTTCTCGAAAGTTCTTTTGTACATGCATTGTAGTGTGTGTATATATGTGTGTGAGCGGTGTGTGCGCGCGCGCGCGCTTGTGTGTGTGTGTGTGTGTGTGTATAATTACTAAGAATCGTTAAATTTTCCATTAACTGATGCAGTATATTATTTAAAAGTACTCAAATGAGTTTTGTTGCTGTTTCCTAGAGATACATATATTAGAAGAACACATATGGTATATAGGAACTATTCGATGAAAATCCATATTATTCCATATTATTTTTGTTCTAGTCAGAACATTTGTAAACACTTTAATTATTATGTTGAAAATAATCATAATTAGACAAAATATTGTAAATAATATTTTTTAAAAACTGAATTTTACAATTTAATTTTTATAATTTTCTTGACTAGTTTTTCTAACATGTGCATTACTTGATGGAGAGATTATCACTTTTTTTCTTTAAAAATGTTTAAAGTTAATTTATTTAGTATTAATAAATAATAAATGTCATAAATATAAATTAAAACCTAAATAAATAAAGAAATGTAATAAATGTAAATTTATTAATAATTTTCCTGTGATTTTGATTTATTGAAAGAAAATTTTGAAACAATATTTCACTGTTCCAAAAATTAAGTTTTATAATTTTTAAGACCGTTCTTAAGATTAGGGCTTATGGATAATGTAACAAATATTAGCAAATATTAGCAAATAACAAATATTAAGAACAGGAATAAGTATTGAGATTTCAACTTATCAAATAGTTGAAGTTACACTGCGAAATATATAGCTTCTTATAGATTGAAACCTTAATATTTATTTCTATTCCTATTTTCTCCATTATGCGCAGAACCTTATTTTCTAAAGAGTTATTTATATGCATTGTACACAATAGTATCTACCGTGTGCGTGCGTGCGTGCGTGCGAGCCTGAGTGCGTGTGCGTGTGCGTTTAGGTATTTTATTTTTTAGTATCTGTATTATTTTTTCCAGAATATCTGTACCTGCATCCAGATACTAAAAATAAAAGTACATTCACATACAGCACTGTTTACGTGAAAAATTATTTCACCGTATTATATTCGTGATGCTGATAACTACTATAAGGGGAAAAATAATTAGATAGCATAGCAGATTTTATGCTACTGTAGCAAAATCTATCAGTTACTAGATGGAGAGCAAAGAGATTCTTTAAAAATACTGATTGTTATTTGCTGGATATAATTTAGCTAAAACTACAAATTAGTTTGTTGTTAGAATAAATAAATTTTTGTTTATAATCAACTAATCTGTTTTGTTGCATTACAATTTGCTGCAAAAGCAAAGCACATTTGAAGAACTAACAAGATAATTTTGTTCTATAACCGATTTATTTGAATTACATGAGCGAATCAAATTTGCTATTGTAGCACATGTTTGCTAAATTAATGATATATTTTGGTTGTATGAACGAAATAACTTTGATATAATAGCAATTTTACTTTGTTGGCAATAAAACTTTATAGAATTATTCGAGAGTAGCAAATAAGCACAAATAAAAATATAATTTAAATATAAAAATATAAAGAAAAACCAATCAAAATTAATTTGTTATTAGATTTGTCTTTAATAAATGTATCGATAACAAGTAAAAAATTATAGAGATAAAAAATCGAAAATGAGTAAGACCTCCAGCAGCAAATCGATTACAATAACAAATTTTTTTTGCTCATAATGAATTTGTATGAGCAATAGTGACTTTATTCCAATAGCAAAAAAATTTGCTAAGAACATATTACTTTAACAGCAAATTAACTTGGTTCTAAAGACAAATACACGCAGCACTTTTTTTCTATTTTAGCAACAAAATAGATTCTACTCTAATAACAAATAATTTCTAAAATTGGTTGTGTCAACTAAATTTTATCAGTGTCGAATATGCAGTAGCAATGACAGGTTTGCTACAACAGCAAAATTATTTTTCTCTATATAACGCGCCACTTAAAAACAATTACAAAGCATTATTTGCGTATGGAAAAATCATTGAGCTTCCTCTCGCCCTGAAAAATCTTTGGTACGTCAACTAGTTAACTCTTAAATTACAGCACGTAAAAAAGGGGACTCATCATTTCACGTCCATCATTGAGTCACTGAGATTATATTGTTAGGTAGCAAAAGAACAACAGTAACGTAATCTCTTGAGTTAAATAACATTTTGTTATTTTTAACTTTCATGTGTGTCAAAATATAAATCGATTCATTTCTATAATTTGTTTTAAGTAAACGTCCCATATTAATGCATTTAGTAAATAATAAACTAAATTTGGGTCAAATTTAATACATTTTGTTTAATTAAATTATTTAATTCCATTGTTTTAGTCAAATATGACATATTGAGTAGGAGCAATGACAATCTATAGAAATGGTTAAAAGTAATTTAAATTGGATATAATTTAATATTATGAATTTAACAGTGCATCGCGACTACTATCGCACGAAGCACATCTGTGATTTCATCGAATTACAAAGATTGCAAACGGAATCATATTGTGGGTAAATCATTCTCCATCTACTTTTATATTTAATTAGTAAAATATTTTTCTTTTTCTTCGTATTTTGCTTATGTCTCTCTGAATCATTTATCGATCTTTGAATTTTCTTGATTCATCTGAAAAAAAATATTGTTACATGACGCATCGTATAATTTGTTTAACTCTCGAAGAGCTATAATTTCAACACAAGATATACTTACAACATTCTAATAATAATAATTGATTTATCGAAAACTTTTATAATTTTTTTATCGTGCGCTGCGATGTTCTCGTACTTATTCGTCGGAATGATTTTTCATTTCAGCATTCTCTTCGTGCCGAGCATATTCCAGCAGACCTCTTCAGTCTCAACAACTCCGAGCAGCAAAAAAGAAGAGGAGGAACGTCGACTAACCGACTAATCGTGTCTTACAGCCGCAGACGCACTTTTGATCCACGCCGAGTTCACTTCCATAAATATCGCAGACGGAACAGACTACACCAGCAGACGAGGAGCACATGGCTCTAAGTCCGAGGGCCACCATCAAAAAGACACGTCCTGGGCGGCGGACACCGTCGCCGACATCTGGTTTCGCCAGTGTGACGATAGCCTCGTTAGTTCCACTCTTGTAATCTTATTATAGGCCGCGTGCTCTCTCTCGGATTTTATTCCGCGTCGCCGGTTAGCTTCTCGACGACCGCCAACCGACGCCTGGTCCACTTGGAACGCGCGATTTACGATCATTTCCGATGCGCTCGACCTCTTCCTGCTACTTGAACGACGTCGACGCATGCAGTCGATATCGCGAGACGACCAGCTTCCCATTCGCGATATTAAATTTTCAAGCGCTTGGCGACGTTGCTACCAACGCGCTGCTCGTGGTGTAAGTAACACACTGCTAGTTGCGATATAATATTAAAAGAAGCGGATTACAGATTGAAGAAGAACATAGATGCACTCTTACATATAAGGGAGTTTACAGAAATCGCAAGGATCTTTTAATTATGTGTTTTAAATTAGTATTATGGTAATACTTGCAACTAGGCATTGAATGGCTTGTCGCTCGATGCGATTAATTCGCAATCTGTAGAAAATGTATTACCATAGATAAAATTCCATAACAATAATCATAATAAAACATGTAAACTTAAGCCAATGAGCCAATCAGAATATTGCTTTAGATCTACGTAATCTAACGGAAATAGAAATAGCAGTAAATTTATATGTGAATAAGATGTCCATAAGACGAATTTCAATCGGTTGAAATTTGTTTTATGGATAAGTTTACTGCTATTTCTATTTCCGTTAGATTATGTAGCTCTAAATCAATATCCTGATTGACTTAAATTTACGTATTACAGTTATTGTTATTTCCGTATTACAGTTACGGAATTTTGTCTGCAATAGCCCTAAGAGACCTTTGATCATCAGCGCCGTTCGGATTTTAAATTGTAGGTTCCATATATCACTGAATATAGATCCTCCAGGTTAAGAGTTGGACATTAGGCTAACAACTTAATTCCAAAAAAAAATTTATTGTTACTGAAACCTCATTAGAGGTCTATACTTCATATGGGAATTAAATACACATATTATTTAATACTTATAACTTATTAATATTCATAATTTTATTAATATCATTATTCATATTATACTATTAGGTATTGGAATTAATTCGTAGCGTTTTTAATGAAAGAATGTTATTTATTTCACATGAGCATTAAAAAATACATTAATGAAAGTACTTCCCATCACTTGTAAAACGCTACGAATTAATTCCAACACCTAATATAATCTCATATTATTTTTTTATACAGTTATAAATGAAAAGAATGATCAATAAAATTTAATAAAATAAGAGAAAGAATCCTATTTTTGGTCAAAGTAAATCTTAACGTTTAACTCTTTATTAGTCTCCCTAGAATTAGTCTCTATGGAATGTTTATAGGATACTTCAACCTTATAAGTTTGCTAAAAGAATGCTATTTATACATATTATTATATTTAGCGCAAATTATTTCATAAGTACAATAAAAAAAATTTTGCATTTATTTCTTTATCTAACTAAAAGATGTACAAAATGTATTATTACCCTTTATTTAATTATAAATCATTAAAGAGAACAATGAAAATTCAAATATAATATTGAAGTGTCAGAAATATTTTCCGCAAATAATGTAGAATTAATAATGTAAACATTAAAGCATTAATATCCGCTTTGATCAAAATTAGCATCTTTTCTCTTATTTAATTTATTTTATATTTTTAATCTAACAATGTATTTATATTTATTATATTTATTATTTTTATTAATATTATTATTGTTATTAATTTATTTTTTTTAATTTCTATTAGCATCACATTTTTAAGATTTAATGGTTGATGTATGAAGATAAAGTTTTTTTGCTTGTTACTCTGTACAACATTCTTGACAAAAGGTACTACCGCATCGTCTTCTCTTATAGTTTGTTCCTGCTTTGTTACAGAAAACTTTACAAGTGCTTCTTTCTAGTTTTGACGTAGATTTTCCTTCATATGCAAGAGGTAGGAAAAATTTCTGACCTACATCTTCTTTTACATAAGTTTAAAGAAAATGCCAGTTTGAGAGATAATTTGTGGAGAATAATAAGTGAAAATCACAATTAAAAAATCATGTAAAATCATCGAAAATTTTTCCTCCACAATTCTACTTTTCCGTCGAGCTATCTTGTCGGATTGATAATCGTTGAATTATCACTCCATTCGTTATTCGGTAGCGACGTTTCGTGGTTTGTATCATTTTGACACTTCGTACGACTGTATTCGCATTACGTAAAAAAAAAAATCCTCTCAAAAAGCTTGATGAGCGATCGCAACAAGCAGGGCAATCTGTACCGGCGGACAAATACAATCACGGCCTCGGCAAAATAAAAAAAATTAGAGAGGATAAAAAAATACAAATCAACCGCGTCTACCTCGTTCGAGCATCGAATGCGAAACAACGAACGAGCTGAAGCGCGGACGGTGGAGTAATTAGTCCGGGGCACTTACATAATTCAAAAAGCTCGAAAAAAGGTCTCACCGCAATTTCCCCGAGTTTTTTTCTCTCCCCCTTCTAACCCCCTTCCAAACCCCCTTTCTACCCAACACCGTACGAGAACACTCAATCACTGTCCCGCAAATAAAGTATTTTAATGCGCGGTCGTTAGCATGCTAATAAACGGTCGGCTTGCATAATTCTCGGCGAGAATAAAGTGGAAGAATGGACTGCCAGGGGAATAGAGGGACGTGAAGGGACCGCGAGAGAGTCAATCCTCGGGCCCTTAGGCCCCCTTGCGATTAATTACCGCTCGGTCAGACCGTCACGGCCGATGAGAGTCATTAGTTTCTTCGGGAAATCTCGACGTCGAAGCAGAACCTGGAAAATCATGGGGCCTGATGTAAAGTTTAGAGGCAGACTCTCTTTCTTCCTTTGTTTTATGACACAATCATGCACGGATAAAAAAAGATTAGTTGCATCAGCAAAAATTTGCATGTGGTAGCTAAATTCCAGTCATAACATACGGATACTTTAACGTCGTATCTGCGAAGTCTAATTTCCATTAGCTGTGAGGCCTAAATATTATCGATGTAACAGACAAGTATTTTGCTATTATGTCGATCTATTGATCATTGCAGCAAACGTTTTCTGTATAGCTGACAATTTGGTAGTTTCAATAAATAATATTTAGCTGTGGTAGAGACAATTTTCTTTTACACGGACATATCCGATAACTATGACAACTAACTTCATGTTGCTAAATAAATTGATTTATAATAGACATGCATACTTTGCTACCACGTCCTTATATTACAGCAGTAAATCCTCTGCCTCTTATTAGCAAATTTCATAGCTATAATAGCTAATGCAATTTCAGCTAATTAGAATTAGCTGTAGCCAGCAACATTTTTTTTCCGTGTGTATGTGCAATACATTGACAAATTAATATTTATCTAACAAATTAATATTTATCAGTAATCTGCTTTAGCAAACTTATTAATGTCGACGTATTTTCTTCGTCAATTAGCCTTCCAATTCATTTGCAGGAAGGTCATAGACATAATATATCTAGACCGAACATTCTCCGAAATTTAGGGGAAAAAATGGATCGAACGAGTACGCCCTTTTTTACATGATGATCTATCTCCACTTCTTGAATGTTCAATCAGTGTATATTATGTTTATGAGAAAGACTCAAGAGTGGTGTCCGGAAGATCTGGATCTGGCTTCTGGCGATGATAAAAAAATGTCACGAAAGAAACGATTTGCTGAAGTATCTAAAAATTTATCTACGTAGAAACAAATCTGAAAATAATTTCATTTGACCCTCAAAATAATTACGCAGGAAACGCATGATAAATACTTGCAAAAAGTTTTGAGATTTTAGCAATCAGTTTGAGCGTCCTACGTAATTATTTTGATCCAATAAAATTATTTTCTGATATCCAGCTAAAGAACGTTAAAAGGGAGCCAATTTTTGAAAAAAGAATGTAAGTAGAAGGAATAGAGTTTTTTGCAGATTTTAGCCTTCTAGATACGACAAATTTATTAAAAAATTTGTAACGTTTAGGAAATACTTCGAAAATTGAGCATAATAATATACTTATTCAAATGTCAATATTTTTCTTAATTTTTGAAGTGTTCCCCAAACATGAACTTTTTAAGAACTTTGTCGTATCCAGGAAGTCAAAATTTAGAGATTTTTTTATTAAGAAAACACTGTTTCTTTTACTTTCATCTTTTTTCAGCAAAAATTGACATTTTTTAATAACATCCTCCTTTTGAATACTTTAACAAAACGTCCTTTCCTTATAGATATCGAAAAATCTTTCATGCGAATTTATAATGGGAACCAAAGTCGCATAAGTCAGGAGTAGCCCGATTCCCGCATTATTTCGGCAATGTTAATCCTCTGATCCCACGTTTCAATATGACCGATTCATTTTTAATGGACGCAGATGGATGAGTTTCGGCTTTTTTCTGCACAACTGGTAAAACCGAGGTACCCTGACAGGCGCGGTTTTAGCGCACGCATCACATGCGTTACGCGTGCATCGTCCTGACAGCCGGCCTTGCCAGCTGAGGAAACGAAGCGCGAGATTCTGCGCGATCGGCGAGCATCGCCGGCGTCGTAATTACGACCGTTAGTTCGCACATACATCAATTATCGATGACACGACGACACGGGTCCGCCACCCCGGGGCATAGCCCCGGCGATGGGAAACGCGTCGCTTCGCGCACTATATCATCCGCGCCGCTTTCCATCGAATCCGCGATTCGGTGGAACTCGATATCAGCATCGATGCGATAATCCGTACCGAGACTTCATCCGCCGAAAACACGTCGAAGGTATTACCTCAGAATTCAGCAGTCACGCCGATATGCAGGGCTCTTTCAGGGTGGGTTTAAACCTTAATATGAAAAGCAGAAAGCAGAAAAGCCCCAGCCAATCAAAACTTGCGCTGGTAATAAACAGTACAGAAAGCCGAAAGCAATTACCAGCACGAAATCTGATTGGCTGCTGCTTTTCTGCTTTCTGCTTTTCTGTCTAAGTCTGAATCCACCCTTACAAGAAACTGTTTTGCTGAAATATCTAAAAATTTAGCTAGATCTAATATAATCAGATCTGAAAATAATTTTTGTTGGACTTGTAAATAAAATAAATAATTATTTTAAATAAAATAAATAATTATATTTAAAAAATATTAAGCTAGTTTAAAAATATTAGCAAAAGTTCTGGTCCAAATTTATTATTCATAATTCAAACAGCTTCGTTAAAAATGAATGAAATTTAAATTTGAAAAAGGGTTAAAGCTTAACATCTATTTTTGAAATGTCACTGTTTTATGAATTTTTGTAAGATGGTAATTTTTTACATATAAAAAACTACAAGCTGAACACAAAATGAACAATTTTTCTCACTTTGTCTTTGTTACGTGTACAAAAAAAATTTGCAAAAATTTTCGACTTTCTAGTGAGAAAGCTTCATGGAAAAAAACGCTGCTGAAAACTTCACTGATTCAGCAAATCTGCAGTTGTAATATACAAACAGTTAACTTTCTATGTTAAAGTAACAAAATTGACAACTGAATAACATTGAGTTATTTATATAATTATTTTGATGATCTAATAAAATTGTTTTTAAATTTGTATTTAGCTAAATTTTTAAACAAGGGAAACATTCCAGTGATCAGACACATACTTGTATCCAGATATTTACACAAAACTTTATTTGTTTATATTATTATTATTAATCTCAAATGCCTTTTTAAATATAATATTACAATTTAATTGTAATCTTTAAATACAACTAAATTATAATATTGTAATAAAAATAACATTTGAGAGATTAATAATAATAAACTTTGTGTAAGTATTTAGACATATAGGTAAATGTTCGATCATTGGGACATTTATCTTATTTCAACACAAATTAATTAATGTTATTTCGATTGTTTGCGCGCGAAAAATCGCACGAAAGATCTTTCTAACGGATGTACTGAAAATAGAATTGAAAAGGATGAAAATTTTGTTCTTGACTTTTTATATATTTTTACATCAGCAGAGTTGTAGATAAAATCGGAAGGTAGAAAAAAGGTCAGACGAGATAGAAAAGGAAGGAGTGGTCGAATTATTATAATTAATATAATTAAACATTATCTTTCTCATTCGTTGCATCAACGACACTTAGAAAATATGATGATAAGTATTTTCCTTAAATGCATTTTTCTTTATACATGTTCAGTTTATTTTCTTATACATAAAGATGGTAAAGAAAGTTATCTTGCCTTAATATTTTTAGTAATTTTACTTTAAAGTAAAATTGTGCTCATTAACGTAAGGGAATCATTAAATTGTAAGTGTTTAGTTCTCTTTAATTTTTAATAAATACGCTTATTACTGCTTCCTTATTACTTGTCATACCACCGAAGCACGTGGCCTAACATCCAAATAAAGCGTGTTCACCATCTTCGAAATATACAATGACAGAGAAACGGAGGTCTATCCTCTCTTTCTCTCCTTGTCTATCCCGTTCCTCTCTCTCTCTCCTCAAATTACCTAAAACCGATGAAAAGCCCATTAGCTCAAGTAGAAATCAAGCCGACGTGACTAAAAACGCGTTTAATGGCCGTCAGCGCGGCACAGCACCGGCGGTCTTTTCGTTGTCGAGTCATTAAGAGCCAATCTCTCGCGGGGCTTCTATTAATCACGCGCCATCGGAACGCCAGCAGCTTCTACGATCGTTTCCGCGAGCGCACGCATACTTCGCGGATTAATGATCGGTTATGTCGGTACGTGTTATTACGCTATACAAGCCGGAGTACAGATGCTTAATCGTCAACTGCACTGCGGTTAAATTTCGGTAACGTAACTACTACCATCGAGGTTCAAGATGGTCCCGATAAATGAAAGATATAATAAGTCATCTTAACAGATCGTGAGATAACGTCTACTTTATTTTTTATTTATGACGGGCAAAGCAATACACAAGAAAGAAAAATTTATAGTCGAACGTAAAATTTGATGAAACATTTTTTTAAATTATTATACTAGCATAATATTAATGTGTTAATATAAATTATTATGGCTGTGTTAATATAAATTATTATGGCTGTGTTCTAAAATTGATTGCCAGTACTGAAAATCTATAGTATGTATAAAAAATCTATAGTGTAACGTAAACTATAAATTTTCATCACTGACGGAAGATTTGGAACTCAACCTAAAAATAAACTTTTATGCGATAAGTAAATAAATTCAAAATATTAATACGTAGGCAGAAAAAATGTACAAAAGAGAAACACAATCCGAAGTAAAATTTAATAAATTATTTTTAAAAAATACTAATTTTATACTAATGTTTTATGTACAATTATTTTAAAAATTATATGTATAAACTGTCTTACTTTAATCGATAATTTTAAAATGTTAATGCATCTATAATTCAATAATTTTTTTCTATATTATAAAAAATATCAGGTTTAAAAAACTTATATTGCGAATCAACATCGATTTGCAATAGGCATCGATATTTTCGGAGAATGTTTTATCCAGCAAACAAACACGGACTGTTTCTACAAATAGAATAAAAGCAACTTAACTTAATATTAAATCAACCGGTTGGATTTAATTCGGAAAAGAGAAATACAGCGGGAAATACAGTTAAACGATATCATCGAGAGGAAACAGAGGATATCAGCCAGATAAAAGTAACATAAATCGCTGCTGAATCTAGATATCGAGACTGCCGAGTAGTAAAGTCGTTATACGACTTTTTATTTCCAAATAGATCGTAAAAATCTTTAGAGACTTAATATACTCCTCTCAATTAATTCATGGATTACTGTCTTCTTCCATGATTTTTTTATATTTTATCTTAATTAATAATTCATTTAATTTTTATTAAACACTTACGCTTTGCTATCCAAGATGAGCTTGCACATTTGTTTTCTGCATATACACGTATATTAACAATTTGAAAGAATATTTATTTAATAATTTTTTTCTTTTATTCTAAAATTATTTTAATGAGCGATATATCCTGAGAGATGTAATAAGAAAATCAATTATATTTTTAAATTAATCGATTATCTTTATCTAGAATTCTAGATAACGTAAGGAATTAATAGAATATCAGAAGACTATAACTTTGAGCCGTAACATCGTAATCAGCGTCCTCGTATCATCCGTATTTTATTCTCAAACCGGATCTCATCTGTATCTAATATGCTCTCTTCTCATTGTAAAAATGAAAGTTGGCAGCACACACATATAGACACACGCATTCAATATCGAGTATAACGACAGAGTTTGAGTCACAGCGAAGTGTCTTGGAAGAACTGCTCGCGCATTTTCACACGTGCCAGGACTCACAAAACACATCCGCTTCCTCCGTAGTGTAGATGATATCACGGAATCATAAAAACGTTGGTTTCCTCGGGTTGGACTGATCGCAGCCAGCCGGTGTGGCGGTACTCTCTCGGAATCGAGAAATCTCTCGTTTCGAAGGAAACGAGGACTTAAATAAAGTCGCGCGCGACCCTTTTTTACGACTGATATACATTAGCCTGGGTCGTTAGAAACAGTGATCGTGCTCTCGACTTATTCTACGTTAAGTCGCTCGAAACATCTCTTCGAAGATATCCAACACACCTGGCGAACCTCTATGTGGGGTCGTTCTCTTCCTAAGGTGACGGAGATCCCGGAGATTTCAGTAAGATAGAATAATGTTGTATTCATGTATGATTCTGTAGCCGGAGAAAGTTATAACAAGGCTTTTTTCAGACTTGTGGCGGTAAATGAAAGGAATATATCTAATATTAAATGAGAATTTTTATTTATTAAAATATATTTTTATACATTTTTTATTTCGCAGTAATTTATTTCTATATTTTCTAATATAATTTATGAAGTAAGACTTTATAATATAATTCAGAGACTGTAAGATTATAATTTCTTGCATTGTCGTTCAACCTTGCATTTCATACGACCTATTATTAAAGAAAAAATAAAAATGTTTATATTTCCGATCGTTTCTTTCGAAATTATATATTTTTGTGTACAAGATTAAATAAATTAGAAGTGCAAATAGTGAAAAAAAAATTATTAGGTGTTGGAATTAATTCGTAGCGTTTTTTAATGAAAGAATGTTATTTATTTCACATGAGCATTAAAAAATACATTAATGAAAGTACTTCGGACTTCTCTTAAATTGTTAAGTATATTATAATCTCTATTTTAATATAAAAGGACCAACTGTTTCTATGTTACATTTTCAGTCAACATCTTTTTAATCCGTTATAGAGCCCGAAATCCACTTCCGGAACTTCAACAAACAACGATACAACATGGGACAGTATAAAGGCGGCTGCAGCGCGAAACAGGACAGCAAGGGTCGAAGAGTGATGCGCCTCTTGACCGTGGACCATACGTAAAGCGGATGAAATTAATCGCGCAATAAAAGCTGACAGCCGAGCACTAACGTGCTAGTACACTCCAAATTCCGGAAAATATATCGTTCACACCTGCGCGACAAGCAAGGTGAAGCTGAGGCGTTAAGGTCAACTTTATTAGCCCAACTCAACGTCTCAACTCAATTTACCGAGATAAAATTATCTTTGGGAAAAATATGTAACATTGAAATCATCATTTAATTGAAATTTTAATATAATTTTAATATACATATACGTATATATGTATATGTAGGATTTTTATTTTAATTTCTTTATATAGTTGCAATATATTATAATTTTTAAATCATTACAATTTAATTATATTTTGTATTTTTTATTATGTTACAAAGTAATTATTATATTTATTTGATTCATTATGAAATATTATAATTTTTTTTATTTCGTAGTTAATCTGAAGAAACAAGATAATATTGCGAGATAAACATTGCAGTATTTTTATGTATAAGATTTTAATTTAATTTCTTTATATATATATACTTGCAATATAATTTTAAAATCATTATAATTTAATTATTTTGTATTTTTGTTATGCCATAAAGTAATTATTATATTTATTATATTTATTTTATTTATTAAATAATATTATAATTCTTTTTATAGTTAATTTGAAGAAATGGTGGATACAATACGATATTGCACTATAAACATTACAGTACCTTTATAGAAAAGAGAACAAATCTCAAAAAATAATACTATTAATAATTACAGTATAAAAGGATGTACGAAATTTTTAGTCAACTCTTAGTCGACTCTTTTGTTAGAAATTTAGTTATGTCTACAGACAAGTGGTCAATTCACCCGCGTGTCTCGCTATTATTGCACGCGACAGCGCGTCGCTCGTAGTCTCGAAACTCCGGAAGAAAAGTCGCGTCGCTTTGCGCCGCTCGAGAAAGAAGCAAAATGTAATTCAGTGCCCGACGTGTGCAAGCGGGCAAAAGTAACCGCGCGATAACACGGCATTCCGCCGTGAGATGCTAGTAATTAAGACTTCAACTGGTCCCAAGAGGTTCTCGACGAGCGTGTCGTTCCCTTCTGTCTTATCGCGTGGCGCGCTCGACTGCTCGATACCCTCATGGCTTATTTCTACGGGCGTCTGAAAGGATGCAGGATACAGCATCAAGTGGCGATAGTTCTTTCTCTTAAGTAGCTTGTCTCCCCGGATCGATCGAACTTGAGGTAAATCTTCTCACGGCACCAAAAAATTGAAAGTTGTGATCGAGGTTCCAAGATACCGTAATTAATGTTTTCGAATCTTAATCCTCTCGAATTGATTACTCTAAGTAATTTTTAGATCATTAATACTTCCATAATCTATCAACTATATCTGAAGTGTTTAAAGAATCTGAAAAGAAAAATTTTATATACTTATATATTTTTATAATTTTCCATAAAATTTTTAACGTGTTGCGATATTTTCAATATTTTATGTTTTTGACGCAGCGTGTTCAAAGTTTATTATTCTATCCTACAGCGAGTATTCACTTTACCGTGTTATAAGAACAAAGAACTTTTCGAAAATCTCAAAACCCTTTTCTCTTTTACATGAACGTGATGTCAACAATTTTATCAACAGCTTTCTTGCGAAGTTTAACCTGGGAATATTATCACCTCATTTTTTTTTACATAAATGATTACCTGGGATATTTTTATGCTTATAATACAATTAAAATTACTATAATATAAATATTATTATTAACAATTATTATTAACAATATATTGTATATTATTAATTATTTCCCGATTTATTGGCATTTTAAAACATTATACTATTATAATTATAGATTTACTCACAATTTTTTGAAAAAAGTAAGTATAAATCAAATAAATATTAAATGGAATAAACACGTAAGTACGATTAAGATGTACTTAATAATTTATTTCATAGATATAATAAAAAAGACAGGATGTTTTGATCTAATTTGATCTTTTTCAGCCGACAATAAATAAATTAATACACATTTAAAATCAAACGCATTGTTAAGAAATATAAGGTATAAAATGTGTTAAGCGAATACAAAGCATGTTTATACATAACAAAATATATAATAAGTTATTTAACGGAATTATTATATAAAACGTTGAAATTATTTAATAAAAATATATACACACACACACACACACATTTAATATATTCTTAACAGATTCATTGCCACACGAGAGTTTGACTCTATAAATTAAAATGAAATAGTCAATAGTACTGTTAGTTATAGTCAAAAATTAATAGTATAGGTACGAAAAATTGTACTAAAGCAAAATAAATGGTACAATAAAAAAACTTATTAAATTTTTATAGATATTTGTTTAAATAATACTACACAATAAAATTTTGTGTTAAAGTTAAATACATTTCACATGTCCCAAATTTTTGTGTTAATTTTAAGATTAATTTTTTATACTTTGGATAAATATTCCTTAAATATGTGAATTTCCTAGTACATATTTAAAGTAACGATAAAATTATTATTTTTTGTGAAATTGTTTAAAATGTTTGAAATTATTCAAATTACTCCGCTGTACTCTATTAAATTGACACACACATTTTATTCATTTATTCTTAAAATGTATGCTTTAAAACTACATTATTTTTATGTTTTTATTTTTTTATTTACCTATAAATTATATTATTTTAACTGAGGAACGTTAAATTTTAACACAAAATATTCAAATAACACAATCACATTATGTTAAATTAATATTCAGATTGAAAATTCAACACAAAAATTTTAACAAGAATTCGTTTTAACGTAAATACAAAATGTTTTTTACTGTGTAAAAATGTAACTAAATATTTACTTACAATAAATAAATGTTTGCTAAAAAATGATACTTAAATTATTATTACTATTATTATTATTTTTATTATTATTTGGTTCTTATATCAAATATATATATATATATGTGTGTGTGTGTGTGTGTGTGTGTGTGTGTGTGTGTTTATATTTAATAAATAATTAGTACTATTCCAACAAATATTAATAAAATTTAACAAATCTCTTTTTTAGTATAAATACAGTACACATTTGATACGTTTACTTCTATCTCGAACGGAATCTTAGATGTGAGTAAAATTTTTTTTCTTTATTAATTTAATATAACTTTTTATTGCGGATTTCAGATACAATCGCATTTATAGATTTGTAAAAAGTAGTTATTATTAGTTATTTAAAAAAAAATATGTTCAAAAAGAAAACAATCCATTTCCATTTTATAACACACAATTCGTATTTCCTCGCTGAATATAAGAATATTACAGATAACTATACCTGGGTTAAATATAATATTATACGCGTCAAACGAGTGTAAATAATATTATAATATTAATGCAAATGGTTCGAAATCAATAAAAAAATAAACAGTCGTCTTCAAATCAAAATGTGTGTTCTGTCGATTTGCGAGTGCGACATTTGGCGTGCATAACGATTCACTGTTAATTATCAATGCCAATCATCTCATTACAGGCGCGGACTTGCTCGCACATGCGATCGAAGTATCGGGAATACGGTGCATTATCCTTATTTCGATCGTACGTACTGATGAACGTACGCTCGATGGAAACGATTTTGCGCGCTCGCGATCGCTACCGAAACGCGGTAATAGACAGTTTACATTCGGCAATTCCAGTGAACAGTGAAACGTTTACCGTAGCGGTAACCGATCGTTACATCCGCCATACGTTTCCCGATAGCGGCACAGCCCCTTCATGAGTTACTGAATCCGCAATCAGCGAGAGAGCACCAGGCGGCAAAAGCCTGCAAGATCGAGTGCAAACGGGAATTCGTACCGCAAATTTGTTGTCGAGATGACAGTGATAATCAGATGGAAACATTATCTTTTTAGGACACTAGAGAATTAATGCGCGCGAACGGAACACGTTGTATCGCAAATTTGTTGCTGTGATTGACGACTGATAGCATTATCCTTTCAGGAGATACACGAATTAACGCGCAATCTTCGATCGACTCTCAGAAAATAAGTGGTCTCCTTATAAGCGCAAAATATTCCTAGAATGTTATATAGATATTTAAAAAATTCAAATAAGTTGTTATAATATTTTGAGAATTATCATATAATAATTTTTAATATTACAAGAGTATTCTATAGAAATTATATCTACTTACATAATATCCTTAATATCTCTGACATATATATTTCTGACATATATATTATTAAAATATTTATAAATATTAACTATTTTTAATTTAGTGCAATTTGAATTCACAATCCAGTAACAAAAAGTTCTTCAGTCTATGTTGCATCTTGTGTTAAAAAAAAATGTTTCTGCGTAATTTTAAGTACATATCCAATACTGCGCGCCAAAATCATTTTCAGTCTTTAAACATATACTTATTCTGAACAGATGTAGCAGTTTTACAAATTAAAGTAAATGCTATTACAATACTTTTTAATGTTTGAACAATATTACAATAACATTAAATAATGTTACTTTTAATAATAATACAACATTATCAGGAGTGGACATAATCATCCATTAATATTTCGAGGATATTATTTAATATTATTTAATTTTAGTAAAATATTTTCGAAATGTTACATTTAATATTCTGAGAGAGAGAGAGAAAGAGAGAGAATATGCTTAAAATATTACTTAATATTAAATAATATTATGCGCCTATAGGACTAATCTTTTCGTTCGTTGTTCTTCTAATTAGACATGTTATTTCTACTTTTAAAAAATGAGATTTTATATAGGTTTTTTTATTGAAAATACCAACAAAATGGTTCATTTAAAAAACGCTTAAATAACTGAAAAACTTTACAAGTCATTGAATCTTAAAAAGTCAGAGGAAATAGGGATAACATTCCAAACCCGAAAATTAGAAATTTAATGTAATATAATACATATTTATTAATCTAAATTACA